CGCCAGCCGCCCGCCGCAGAGCTTCCAGCAGCCGCAGCCGCAGCGCGCCGGGCTCGCCCTGGACAACAGCATGCGCCAGCAGCAGCCCTTCTGGCAGCCCCCGCGCCTCAACCGATCGGACTTCACCGCCGCCTCCATCGACCGCATTTTCATCTACCTGCCCTCGCGCGCCACCTGGGAGCTCTCGATCCACGCGAACGCCATGCACGACGCAGCGCTGCTCTCGGACAACCGCCTGAGCGGCCACGCCATCATCGCTTTCTCCATCGGCATCAAGCCGCGCACCCCGAAGGGCGAGGAGGCCATCCACCCCTCGATCTCCCGCGACCTGAATTGCGCCATCTACCTCCAGAAGCCCCTGGGCGCCACCAACTTCGACCGCCCATCGATTGACAGCCGCTGGCGCGCCCACGAGCGGCCCATGACCGAGGCCGCCCAGCTGGCGCGCGACGACTGGGTCCGACGAGCTACGGGCGACACCAACAAGGCAGGCTTCCTGGCCGGCAGGGTCTACACGACGCACTCCATCTCGCGCGCCATCTAGCGCCAAGACCTACAACTGGGCCGCGGAGTTGCCTCCGCGACCGAACACGGCGCTAAGTTCGCCAGCATCCCCAAAGGCATCATCGCAATCAACGAGCCTGCCGTCTTCGCCAGCCTCGCTTCACAGCTGAACCGCGACTTCGAGGCTCGGCAACTCCCCCTCGCGCAGCAAGCCGCGCAACGCACTCAGGGGCGCGCTGGCGCCCTGGACCCTGAGATTATCCGTAGGATCCTTCGGGCCGCCCAGCGCCGAGCTCTCCACCGGGACCCCTGGAAGCGCAGCGTAGCCCCCCAGGGACTCAAAGTCACGGGCCCAGATGGGCCCAAGATAGCGAGAGAGAGAGAGAGAGAGAGAGAGAGAGAGAGAGAGAGAGAGAGAGAGAGAGAGAGAGAGAGAAAAAAAAAAATAAAAAGAGAGAGAGAGAGAGAGAGAGAGAGAGAGAGAGAGAGAGAGAGAGAGAGAGAGAGAGAGAGCGGTTCGATGGTCAACGCCCTGCGCGACCTGGCAGACCGTCTTTGCCGCCAAGCCCGTCGACGAGGCCAGGGTCGCCAACTACATCCACGCGCACATGCCGAAGGGCGAGATCCTGGACATCTGGGCCCCCGCAAAGCCGCAGATCAAGGCCTTCCTCCAGCGCACCTCGCCGTCTGCTCCAGGACCCGACTGTTTGACGTACTCCGCCTGGCTCGCACGCGATGCCTCGTTGACTCTCTTGGAGGACGCGCCCTTCTTCCCCTGCTCTGGCCTGCACTTCATCCGAGACCTGGCGAGTCCGACTTCGCCTTCCTGCCGAAGGGCGACGACGCCGCTGGCGCACTCTCGACAGACCGAGCTGCTGAAGATACTCGCCCGCTCTCGCTGAAGAACATTGATATCCAGGCCATCGCTGGGGCAGCCAACTACCTCATCAAGGGCGCCGTGGCAGAGCGCACCCAAATAGCACAACAGGGCTTCGCACAGAAGCGCAACTTCACCTAGCACACCGTTCGCTTCGACGCTGAGATGAGGCGCGCTGGACCACCTCCTGGAGCTCCTCAGGCCAAGCCCGTCTTCGCGAGCTTCGACCTCTCTGCCGCCTTCCCGCCCCTGGGGCGCGCTTGGCCCTTCGCCGCGCTGGAGCACTTCGGGATCCCAGCTGGCCTCATGAACCCCCCCCGCGCGCCGTGCCATGCGCCGAACAGTTACATCAAGATCGACGGCGTCAGGCACACCATGTTCGCCATAGAGTCTGGAGTTGCGCAGGGTCGTTCTGCCTCGGGCCCGGCATGGGCCATCGCCATGGACCCGCTCATCCGCCACCTCGCCAAATTCGTTGAGCACCACGACGGCACGCCGAATCTGGTGCTGGCAACATCGGCGCCTCCGCGGACGACATCGGTCTGCTGGTATACTCCTTCGACACGCTGCGCCTCGCCTCTGAGCCCTTTGCCGCAGCTGAGGAGCTTGCGCCCGTCTCGCTTAAGCTTCGCAAATGCTTCATCGTCCCGCTCTGGGCCGCGGCGACCCCAGTCACCATTGCCCAAACCAAATCTCTTTTGGCCGAGCTCGGCCCCTCCTGGGGCGGTTTCTCTGTTGCGGGCTGTGCCAAATATCTTGGCACGTTCCTCGGTCCCGAGGCCTCGCTGGCCTAGCAGTGGCTCGAACCAGGGCAAAAATGGTGTCAACGGGGAAATCTTCTCCACCAAGTTCAGGGCGGCAGCGATGCGACACTTCGCCTTTACAATAACTCAGACCTGTCCACGCCTAGCTACGTTGCTCAGTTCTTCCCGCGTCAGCCACTGATCGCACGCTGTGAACTGCATGTTTATTTCTTTTTCACGAGATGCTTAGTCCCCCCCCCCCCCCCCCCCCCGAACTCACTCTGCAAAGTTGACGTCGTAGCCATGGCGTGGTGGAGCCCACCACCCATCCTACAGTCTGTTCAGATCAAGTATGCTGCTGCTGCTGCTGCTGCTGCCCGCTCCGCTGCCGCCACTCTCGCGGGCGACTGGGAGCGGTTTGCCGAGCGCCTCGCTGACACGTCATGGGAAGAAACTACCCTTCAGAACGCGCCTCGCTGTCAGGCTGGCGAGCGGTCGCCCGCCCTCCGGTCGTCTCAGCAGCCCATCGCACGGAGCCCAGCCTCAAAAGCCGTTTTCCCGCCCAGCCGCCACAGCCGCTTTGCACGCCGCGCGCATCGAACAGCGCGAGGCCGCAGCCCCCGTTCCACCCCGTCGGCCGAAATACCAGCGCACGTTCGCACGCAAGTTCGCGGAGCATGCCTTCGCCTCGCCATTTTCCGTCACCCTGTACAAACGCATCACGGCTCGGGGCCTCCAGGCGCCGACGGAGCCAGGAGAGCTCCCAAAGCGCTGGGCCTACCTCGCGGTATCATTCAAAACTGCGCGCCCTAGCTGGCGCTGGGCCACTTTTAAGACACTGAGCGGCGGCTGGACCACCACTGGACGCACGCGCGTGCTCGCCCCGAAACAATGCGTTTTCGGGTGCGGGAGCCAGCCAGATTTCAATTCCCCACTACCTCACCTGCCCCTCGCTTTCGAGCCTCCTCTGGTCCCCTGATCCCCCCCTTTTCCGTTCGACGCTCGCTGCCTGGGGCCTGGGGCCCGCAGCTGCGCGCCCGCCCGAGAGTCAGGATCCGCTTTCGTTGCGCTCGACGATTGAGCGCATCGCGCTGGCGTTTGACATTTATAACAAAACGAAGCAGCACACTGACCCGAGCCCCCGCCCTGCGGCGATGGCCGCAGCGAGCCGAGCTGCCAAAGCGCTTACAGGCGGGCGGAGTTAGCATCGGGCGCCGCGGACGATCCTCATGTGCCCTCGTCTCGCGTCGCGCCCGCTTGCCCTCGTCTCGCCTCTTTCAGGGTACCTGAACTCCTCCTCCTCCTCCTCCCCCTCCTCCCCCTCCTCCTCCTCCTCCTCCTCCTCCTCCTCCTCCTCCTCCTCCTCCTCCCCCTCCTCATCCTCCTCCTCCTCCCCCCCTTCCCCCTCCTCCTCCCTCAAGCAACGCGGCTCGAGCTGCGCGATCCCATGTGGGCTAAAACCAGCTCGCGACCGCGCCTCACGCCTCCTCGCGGCGCTTGGGGGGCACCACGTTAGAGTTCGGGATTCAGCGACTCTTCCATGGTTGGCTAAGGGAGGCGAATTCAATTCAAGTTCCACGTCTCGTCATGGATGGTACTGGTGAAATAGTATCGCGGCCTACCCCTTTCGCACGGTGGTTCTCGTCGGACCTTGAGTTGACGACTCTGCAGCAGCACTGCGGGCCATCGCCGGTGGAATTGGGAGCGGGTCTTCGCGAGCTCAATTTGTTCAAACTTTTCCAGTGCCAACATTTGGTCGAGGCTCCGATGGTCGTTATTGCTTCATGTCCGTGCCCATCACCACCAGCAGTGCAGCCTCTATATGACCTTCTTCGCAGGCATGGCAAGTTCTCGCCTACGCCCAACGAACGAAGGAGCTTCTTCGAGGCCATCGCATTCGAGGCCATGGTGGGCCAGTTGCCGTGGGCTACAGCGATTACCCTTTGCAGGCAGACAGATCTTCTGAAGTTCGGCGACTCTCCTTCGGCGGTGTCACCGGTCTGTCCTATCGCGGGGTTTCGTCCGAAGCAGTGCTACCTGGACGAGGGTGGTCAGCTGCAGTACCTGGCAGGTGGAGGTAGTTGAAGGCTCTGGTGATCAGTATGTCTGCTCTACAACCTCCAACATTCAATGGTGCGTATGCTGGCTCTCGGCTGCTGTACGTGGGAGTTTCCCCTGTTAGCTGTGATAGTCGGCGTTTCAGTCAGTATTTTGGTGGAGCTGCATCTGTCTATACAAACGGTGGTTTGGGTGTCATTAATCGGCATCGCTTCTACTTTATGGGCGGTCAGGTGGGTCCCTTCCTCGCAGGGCCGTGCTTCAAGTTTAACGAGGGCCCGTCTTCCCTCCTCCTCTTCTGAGCTCCGAGGCTGGGTGGGCGAGCAGTCAGAGGGTAGTCCTCGTTCACTCGCTTCGCGACTGGCGTCACTCACTCACTCACTCACTCACTCACTCACTCACTCACTCACTCACTCACTCACTCACTCACTCACTCACTCACTCACTCACTCACTCCTCCTCCTCCTCCTCCTCCTCCTCCTCCTCCTCCTCCTCCTCCTCCTCCTCCTCCTCCTCCTCCTCCTCCTAGGGCGGCGCATGGTACTAGCGTGTCCTTCTCCGTCCCGCGGGCAGAGTCCGCTTCAATCCGATCGATCCGATCCGAAGTCAGCTTCAGCCGGCCCTGCCCGAGTCGATCCCGATGATTCGGCGGCCCGATACGGCCCGATGCCCTTGCCTCGCGCCGCTTTGCATCCTGGCGCGGCCGACTCGGTTCGATTTCGATTCCGTGCTCACGAAGCCCGACCCGACGAAGATCCCGATCCGATCCGATTTCCCGATCCGACGTTGAGCGATCCTGAAAGGAGGCTCTCGGCGAGGACTTCGTGGCCTGTCTGGAGCGGTGCTTCGTGCTCTCGGTGCTGCAGCAGGTCCCGGTGCTGCAGCACTTGTCGCTGGCACAGCGGGTCCGGATCGCCGACGCCACGGAGGTAAAGGATCAAGTGATGGGGGGGCGAGGGCAGGAAGAGGAAGTGCGGGAAGTTTGGGGTTCGATGTTGCCGTCCGTTTTTGGCGATTTTCCAGCTTCGGGATATGTTTTGCGGGAAGCTGCGCCATGCCGAGGGCGTTCCAGAGGTCTGGCCCGAAAACAGGGCCGCCTCTCGTCGCGCAAGATCAGGATGCGCGTTCTTCCCATCATTCGGCCTCCGCGGGCCTTCGCCAGGCCCCAGGGAAGGAGTCCAGGCCGCCCGGGGTCCACGCCGTGACGAACAGGACGACGTCGGAGTCTCGACTCCTCGCAGGGCTGGGCAGTCCCGGGATCGGGGCACATCGGTTCACAGCGTGCCGGAGCGCTGTGGAACGGCCGCGACGTCCGATAAAGTGGAGGCCCATGCCAAGGAACACCCAGGGTGGCCTGGGGTTTTTTGGTGTTCGATGGCTTTGCATGGAAAGCGTGACGTTCCCACCAAAAATCAACGGACGTCCTGGGGTCTCGGGGCTGTGTTTCTTGAGGAAGGTTTCTTGCGGACTGGCCTCCACTGCACATCCTCCAGCATCGCCGGGTCTCAAAGATCCCCGATGTATCCCTATCTGGTGTTGTCCCGATCCTGGCTTCGTCTCACAGAGGACTACCCCGCGGGCGAGGCAGCCAGCGACGACCTGCGGCTGGGCATCGTCATGGACGGGGCCCTAACCTGCGGGCGGGGCGAAGGCCGCGAGCCCCTCGTGCTGCGGCGCGGGCAGTGGTGGGAGGACCAGGCGCTGGCCGGGCTGCTGCAGCAGCCCAGCGAGGCGGCGTCGCCAGCGTCGTCGTCGCCGCGTAGCCCCTCTGGCAGGACGGACAGCCGGGTCGCCGGAGCGTCCGGAGCGCGCCTCGCCACGCTCGGGAGGGAGGCTTTGGCAGAGGCACTCAAGGTCAGAGGAGGGCGAGTTGACACAACGGTAGTTGGCCTTCGGTGGAAGGGGGCTTCGTCGCCACGGCTAGACACAGATCAGAAAATTGGTGTGGTCGGACCCCGAGAGGGCTCTGGGGACCGATTTTGAGTTGCCGTTGTCTCAGCTCGCCCTGCCGCGTCAAGGAACTGGGCCTCTCCACGGTCGCCATGGGCTCGGGGGGGGTTATCGAGTACATGAGGAAGGTCCTGCTGGCGAAGAAAGTGCCCGTCTTCCGCAGCCTCTCTGCGGACCAGGTCGACGGCCTCGTCAGGTCCCTGGTCCTCGAGAGGTTCACCAGTGGGGCGCAGATCTTCAAGCAGGGCGAGCCTGGGAGCACGTTCTTCATCATCGCCGAGGGCGAGGTGCGCGTGCTCATCGGCGGCAAGCTCGTGCGGAGCCTGGGGAAGGGGGCGTGCTTCGGCGAGCGCGCGCTGCTGCTCGACGAGCCGCGCAGCGCCACCGTGGAGGTGTCGAGCTCGGAGGCCGAGCTGTGGGCGGTGAAGAGGCACGTCTTCAACGAGGTGGTGACCCAGAGCATGAGGGCCGAGCTGGTGCGGAGGATTCGACTAGACGTAAGAGTGACCTCTCGCCAGAGTGATCCGTGGCGCGGCCCCAACTCGAAGCGGTAGCAGCGGCTTGCGCGCCTAGGTTTGGCTACCCCGCCTCCCCGGTCAAGCCGCGCACCAAAGGTCACTCTTGCTTGGGGTCACGCTTGCGTATAGCCGAAGGATGGAGCTCCAGGACACGGCGCCGTAAGGCTTCGGGTTGCACAGCCAGCCCTTCCTGGGAGTGCCGGCTTGCCTCGGCAGGCCCCCCGAGCAATCCCAGCTGGGCAACACTGGGGCGCGAATGCGCCCCAGGGGCGCCGCGTGAGGCGGCGCCTGGGTGTTGAGACCGCCCCAGGCCATTCGAGCGGCCTGTGGGGGCCAGCTTGGACTGCTCGGGGGGCCTGCCGAGGCCAGCCTGGACTACCTGGAGGGGCTGCCTGCGTGCAACCCGAAGCCCCACCATCCAGGACACGTCATTCGAGCTCAAGGAACTGAGACATGTGCGCCTCATAGGCGCAGGGTCGTACGGCTCCGTGCGGCTCGTGGAGCACAGGCACACGAGGACGCAGTACGCGCTGAAGCGCGTCAGGAAGCTGCCGTCACCCGACGACGAGATGCTGAAGGTCCCGGAGGAGGTGCGGGAGGAGTGCACCCTGCTCGCGTCGGTGGACCACCCCTTTGTCCTGCGGCTGGTCAGGACCTTCGAGACCACGGACAGTGCCTACCTGCTGACGGAGCTCGTCACCGGCGGCCAGCTCTACTACCACACCCTCCAGACCATGGGGATCGTTTCTCGCAAGCAGGCGCAGTTTTACGTCGGGTCGCTCGTGTGCGTCTTGGAGGCCGTGCACGACGCCGGCATAGTGTACAGGGACCTGAAACCAGAGAACGTCATGCTGGACGCCGCGGGCTTCGTGAAGCTTGTAGACTTCGGCCTGGCCAAGCGCCTGGCGGAGAGCACGTCGAGAACCTACACGGTCGCGGGGACCTTGCTATACCTAGCCCCGGAAGCGATACGTGGTCACGGCTACGGGTTCTCAGTGGACATGTGGTCCTTGGGCGTTCTGTTTTACGAGCTCGTCTGCGGTGACCTGCCGTTCTGTGAACAGGTTGATGGAGAGGTGAACGAGCACGAGACGATGGCCTCCATCCTGGAGGACGACCTGCGGTTCCCCGCGCGGTACAACGATAGCGCCGGCAAGAAGCTGTTGCAGGGCTTGCTGTGCAAGCAGGCCCAGAACCGCGCGGGCGCTGGCGTCAGAGGCTGGCAGGAGGTCAAGGACCACAAGTACTTCAAGGCTGGGGTCGATGGGGACCTCTTCGGGATGATCATGGGCCGCGAGATCTCGCCCCCAGTCGTCCCGTCCGGCGAGAAATACTCCAACGAGCGAGAGCTCAACGAGACAGTGACGCTCAGCGACGCGGATGAGCTCGCACCGGACTCGCCCGCTGACGAGGTGAGGGAGCGGGTCCTGGGCGCGTTCAAGCGCTTCGACATCCGCGGGGATGGGACCATCGACTCCGGCGAGCTGCGCAAGCTGCTGCGGCTCCTCGACCCAGTCACGTTCGCCGGCGACGCCGCGGAGAAACTCCTGAGCGCGGTGGGCACCGGCAAGGACGGCGCGGTCCCGTTCGACGAGTTCCTCACGTGGGTTGCAGGCGACCAGAGCGTCGAGGCGACCGACTTCCGGAAGGCGGTGGACCTCGACCTGCACGCGTGAGGCGCACCGCTGCCCGGTCTTCGGGGGGGCGCGCCCAGCCTGGCGGGAGCGTCCTGCAGCGGCTGACAGTGGCACTGGGCCGGATCGTCGAATGACGTCGTGGACCAGCGTGATCAGCTTTCGCTCAGCCACGCGCGGGGGGGGGGGAGGGCTTTCTTAGAAGCACCCCTGCTTCTTAGAAGGCGCGGGCCTTATCTACAGATGTAAGGCCGGCGCCTTCTAAGAAGCAGCCTGCTTCTAAGAAGCCCTCCCCCCTCCCCCCACCCCCTTGTGCGCGCCGCCTGTTCGCGTTCCCTGCCCGCTGTCGGCGTCGGCACCCAGCACGTTCCCTGTCTGGGGCCTCGGCCGATGTCGTCGGGTGCGCAGTGGCTGCAGGGAGAGCGGCGCGAGCCCATCGACGACCGGCAGTCCGAGGAGGGCGCCGCAGGGCACCGATGATGCAAGATCGGTTCCCGTAGGTAGCATTGGGCCGGGCCTGTCCCCCTACAGAGGGATCTTCGACGAAAAATAAAACATACCCCAAAAATAATCGAATAATCGTCCCAAAATAGTCTGGGGACTATTTTTTGAGTATTGTTTGACCTTGTTGGGGTATTTTGGGGGTATTTTTTTATCTTTCGTCGAAAATCCCCCTGTAGGGGGACAGGCCCGACATAATGATAATACAAGATCGGTTCCTGTAGGTAGCAACCCGTTCCCCAAACACGCGAATGAGGGCGGCGGCCTCGATGTTTCTCTCCTTGTCTGCGCGCCTGGCGCAGCTGGCGCGCGCGCGCGATGCCTCGCGAGGGGGCCGGTGCCCAGGCCATGCACTGTTTGTCGGGCGTTGCCGGAGGTGTCCCAGGCCCAAGGCGTGACCAGGATTCCCAGGGAGGCCCCCGCGCCTCCAGAGCACCCCTGTCGAGGGCGGATGGCTCCAGGAGGTGCAGCACGAGCGACGGAAAAAAAAACGGGGTCGGTGGCGCAGGCATTGGCTCGCCAGCTGCCCGCGTGAGGTCTCGCGTGAGCGCCCTCGTCTCCAGTGCAGCGTGCCGCGCGGGCGGCCCGCGGAAGCCACCGCGTGAGGTCGCTGTGCCATCTCGCGGAAGGCTCGTTTTTCGGAGCGTCGGGCACGTGGAGCGCAAGAGGCGAGGGCACCTGGGGCCAGAGCCACTGCTGGCAACACCCGAGCGACTCTGTACGTTGTGCTTTTTCGCCCCCCCCACACACTGGTGCGCGGCCGTCGCCGTGCACCAGGCAGCGGAGGGGCCCCCGGGAGCCGCAGGTCGAGGCCGCGGCGCCTCCCACGCCTCCAGCGCCAGGGGCGCATCCGGTGGCCTTCGGCCCATCCCGCCAACGTGCTTGGGTGTTGGGTCGGAGGCCTCCTGGATTCGGGGGTGGACAGGACCCCCCACCCTGACGCGTCGATTAGCGAATTGTCCGTTCTCGGTTCTCGAGGGGGCGCCGCGGCCGCCATTTGCCAGGCTGGCGCCCGCCAGGTCTGGGCCCGAGGTCGTTTTGAAGAAGCCACGTTTTACAAAATGGGGTTCTGTTCATCCCCGATGGATGCCTTAGGATGCCGTCTCTCGAATGGTTCTCGGGGTGCTGGATCACCCGCCGCAGGCCTCGCCGCCGCAAGCTTCTGCCGCGCCAGCGGGATATGGGCGCAGCGAGCCCTGCGAGGGCGCCGCGCAGGTCGCACGTGCAGCAGATGTCCGACCTGGCACGTTCCAGCACGCGCTGGCCCAGTGTTCATACAGTGGAGGCTACAGTACACGACAGCACATAGAATGCCAGACATAGAATGCCAGCTGTTGGTTGGGTCTCCCAACCTCATTCAAACTGAAGAAAGCAATACTGTAACATTGGAAACTATAACAAAAAAGTGTTCATACAGTGGAGGCCAGTCCACAAGAAACCTTCCACAAGAAACCCAGCCCTTGACCCCAGGACGTCCACTGGTTTCGGGTGTGGGAGCGTCGCGCCCTCCACCTCGAAACCATCGAAGGCCAAGAAGCCCAGGGCAGCCTGGAGGCCAGCAGGGTGTTTCTTGGCATGGGCCCCCACTGTAGCAGCACGGGGAGCTCGCGTCGTGCCGACGCGGCGGAAGCCCCAGCGCGGCCGTTCAGGGTTGAACGCCACCAGCGGCTCGGAATCGGCCAGCATGGAAGGATCTGGCGATCGAGAGGCCACCGATCGCTCAAGGCTGAACGATCCACGCGGTGTCAGAAGCCAACGCTTGGGGTCGTCACGACTTCTTGTTCGTCGCGGCGGCGAGGCAGCGTTCGGGCGCAACCGAGGGCAGCTCGAGGCCGATGTCGGGCAGAGCAGGAACCTGCCGCCACGGCCACACGTCGGAGCTCGGGGCCGCCACGACGCGAGCCTGCCGCAGTCCTTGCATTGTGCCCAGCGGTGGACGGAATCTGACCACACATCGACGACGCGGGCAGGGAGGTGGCCCCCAGCTGCGCGGGCGCCGGCGCGGTGGCTGCCCGCGCCGGATCCGGCACAGAGCGCCCGGCCCCTTCTTCGCGCGGTGTGCCGCGCTGGCGGCCTGCGTGAGCCACCCGGGGTCGGGCCGCCGTGCCCTCTGCCGCGGGGCACCCCCAGTTCTCTTCCCGTCGTTCGCGTGCCAGCCGACGGTGGTCTGCGCGCCTCTGGGCAGCTCCAGTCCCGTCGAGCAGCTCAGCTTTGAGCACCTCGAGCCGCGCTCCGCTTTGAGCCTGCGGCTCCTAGGCCGCTCCCCTTTCAGCACCTGCGGGCGGCAGCGGCCGAAAGAGGCCGCGGCGTGCAGGGTTCAGCCCCGCGACTTTTCCGGGGGTGCAGAGAGAGGAAAGGCCAGGTGTCCAAAAAGCTCCCGAGCACGTCCAAGAACCTCCCCCTCGAAGGTCGAGGGCAAAAGTTGGCCGCCTCTTCCTCCTCCTCCTCCTCCTCCTCATTCTCCTCATTCTCCTCCTCCTCCTCCTCCTCCTCCTCCTCCTCCTGCTCCTCCTCTCCCTCCTCCTCCTCCTCCTCCTATTCCTCCTATTCCTCCTCCTCCTCCTCCTCCTCCTCCTCCTCCTCCTCCTCCTCCTCCTCCTCCTCCTCCTCCTCCTCCTCCTCCTCCTCCTATTCCTCCTCCTGCTCCTCCTTCATGGGTTGCTCGGGAGAGGAAGAGCGCATCCCACATGATTCAACGTGTGCCCGTGTTTTTGAGTTGGTCGATGACCCTCAGCGGCCTCTGAGCGGTGATGTGTTGTCCGGTTGGGTCTGGGGGGGGAGCGGGCGGCGCATCAGGGTCAGCAATCGTTCGGCTATGTTGTTCGCGCACTCCCCCTCCCGTGTACGTGACTCACCCCAGTGCCGCTCGCTTCCGCGCACTCACTATCAGGTGGCTGCGAGAGGCGTAGGTGGACGAGGACTCCTCATGAGACGTTCACTCCTCCTCCTCCTCTTCCTCCTCCTCCTCCTCCTCCTCCTCCTCCTCCTCCTCCTCCTCCTCCTCCTCCTCCTCCTCCTCCTCCTCCTCCTCCTCCTCCTCCTCCTCCTCCTCCTCCTCCTCCTCCTCTCCTCCTCCTCCTCCTGCTCCTCCTCTCCTCCCGGCTGGCCCCGTCCGATTCGACTCCGATATTCCAACGAGCGGATGCGGCCCGATGCTCGCGTGGCGCTGCTGGTGCGTCCTGGCGCGACCGATCCGATTCGATGTTTTGACTTCGGATGCGGCCCGATCCGCTGCGCACTTCGACCCGATCTGATTTCCTGATCCGATGCTGATTGGTCTTGCCGTCGTCGTCGTCGCCGTTCGAGGGTCGAGGGTCCAGGGTCGTGGTTTGTGGACGTTGTCGGTCCTCGCCCAGCCTCCAAAGACCCTCGAACGCCGTCGTCGCAACTGTCGCCGCCGTCACCGTCGCCGTCGCCGCGGTCGCATCGTGAGCGTGGAATTCGGCCTCCGCTTGCGTGGATTCTGGGCTGCCGTGCAAGGGCAGGTCGTTATCCACGACGATGGCGGCTTCCGGTACGGTGAGCAATGCCCAGGGGTCTACGATTGCGGTGAATTGTAGGCTCGACGGGGCGATCACGCGCAAGCATGGTGTCCTCATCTCGGACATGCGGCAGGAGGCAGAGACGTTCGCACAGCGCAGCAAGGTCAGCAAGGCGCAGTTGTCCCCGCAGGTATCGAGCCTGCCAGAGGACATCTCGCCGGGGAAGGACAACATGGAGCAACGCATGGCGTCGGATCTCTCGTGGGGGCAGCAGGTGGGCTTCGATATTCGATAACGACCCAAGCCAGGCGACGGAGGATCGTGCCGCGTCGCCCCTGCTCCAGAAGAGGCCGCTGCCGAAGTTCAAGCGCGTGCCATGGATGCTCCTGGCGCAGACCATGCTGGGCATGGACCCCCCTCACATTCCAAGATGGTCGTGTCCGCGAGCCAGGCGCCGGTTCGTCAATTTCGGTTTTCGGACGACGTGCAGGGATTGCGGCCACATCATGCCAATGCACACGGCATTCGCTCAGCCGCGCCAGAAAAGCGTGATCGCCAAGAGCCAGGCGGACGCGGACTTTGGACGACGAGGAAGCGGCGCCACAGCCTCCTGAGGTGAAGGCGGCAGAGAGCAAGGATTGCCCGAACATGGTCGCCACAGATTCGGCGGACACGGACCTCCTGAACGACGATGCGGCGCCGACGTTTCCACAGGCGGAAGTGCTGGAGCAGAAGGACTTCCTGAACTTGGCGGAGACCTGGCCTGCCCTGGGCCAGATGCTGAGCGACGGGCCCCTCGCCCCGCCGGCGCGCACGGCGACGGCGACCTCGACGCAGAGGGTTGGGGCCCTCACGCTTCCACCC